CAACTAGTATGCTCTTACAGTTGCTAATTAATTGGTTGCTTTGTGCCAGTGGTATCAAACTCAAATAGAAATGGGGGCCACTGAACCATCCCTTAGAATCCATACGGGATGCATATTGACTTAGCAGTGATGTGTAGGAATGTTACCAGCCCTCTGGTTTACACTATGCTGCCTTCTTTCAATGTGACTTTCAAATAGTCCTTTACACACTCTAATCCTGCTCTGTTTTTGAGCTGCTCATCTAATAAACTAATGGGAGAACATGGCCCATAGATTTATTAATTTTGTGGCTATCAATTTTAAAATATATCTGAGCAATACCACTGATAATAGTAGACCCAAACCTTTTATCTGTTTCATTTTAAAAGGATAGTGGCTGTCGGTATCGGTCAGAATGCTCTGGTGCTAATGTCACTGGATATGTGGACATCCCGTCTGGGCAGGAAAAGGCTCTTTTAAAAGCTGTGGCCACAGTGGGTCCCATCTCTGTTGCTGTTGATGCAGGACATCCATCCTTCCAGTTCTATCGCTCTGGTAAGCATTTGTTCCTCATTATTTCTGCAACAATATATTTAACTGTATTACTGCCATTCACTAGTTAGCATTTCTGAAGTTCATGTTTCACTTGAATATCCTAGGTGTTTATTATGAACCAGAATGCAGTAGTGAACAGCTAGATCATGGCGTGCTGGTTGTGGGCTACGGTGTCGACAGAATGAATGGAAAGAAATACTGGATTGTCAAGAACAGGTAAACCAAGATCTTGCCTGAAATGTCATTGACCTGCTTGTTGCCAGTTTGTGGTTATTTCATTTTGAAGAAAGGGGGAGGAAGAAGAAGGGTAGAGTTCCTGGGATCCTGTGAAATGGAGAAAGAATGTTCATGGGTGGAAGGGGCCCTATTTTTAAGATCCAGAGTAGATTGAGAGTTCCCCCTAGGTAGTATAAAAGATTTCCTGTTGCCTGGTTTGTTGGACTGGTTTTTTTTTGTTTGTTTTTTAAATTTTTAGGCAATTGGGGTTAAGTGACTTGCCCAGGGTCACACAGCTAGTTAAGTGTCAAGTGTTTGGTCTGAGGCCAGATTTGAACTCAGGTCCTTCTGACTTCAGGGCCAGTGCTCTATCCACTGCACCACCTAGCTGCCCCTGGACTGTTCTAATACAGTTATTGTCAGACTGACTTACAAAGTTCTATGGAAAAAGCACTTCACTTGGAAAACCTGAAAGTGCTTGGTGTTGAGTGAGTGGTTGTCATGAAGTAGAGCAGTGTAGGTGGCACAGTGGATAGAGTGCTAGCACTGGAGTCAGGAGGACCGGTGTTCAGATTTTTGAATGGTGCTCTTAAACTTAATACTACACTTTCTTTTCAGCTGGGGTGAAGAGTGGGGCGACAGGGGGTATGTTTTGATGATCAGGGATCAGAGTAACCACTGTGGAATAGCAACAGCCGCCAGCTATCCTAAAGTATGATGTGATTGATGGAGGACTGCTTCACAGAGATGGGATCTGACCTGTATCATTTGGGATCAAACACTTGAGTCACCCAGGATCCCAAGTTGTAATTTGAGTTTCTTTTGACATTTTTACCTTTGTGAAATGTAAACACTACTTTGTTATAAATAGCTTGTAATATTGCTTAATTCAAAAACTTATAAATTCACATTTTAAAATTGTATGTATGAAGCTTTACCTTTTTAAATAAACCTTGATTCAATATATATGAACTTTGGGAGTGCTGTTTTTCCTTCAATGTGTTAAATTTTGTAGCAAAAGAGAAGAGTTGGATTTCTTTTTTTTGTCTCGGGATGGGGAGTCAGTCAGTGGCTACAGATAGTTTCTGGCATTGAACCAACATTTTGTACCCTGCCTTTTAACACACTAATTGAAGTGCAAATAAGTGGGTATGAGTGAGGCTTTGACATTACTTCAGTCCCTTCAAAGGCAAAACATGGAAAGTCTATGCCAATTTTCAGGAACCATTCATAATCAATGTACAGTTTTGTTCTCTGACTCTCAATCTGTTTCTGATCTAAATGGAGACATAGATGTATGGGCCTAAAGTGACACAGCTGACATGAGCCATCTTAAATTTCAAAGTTTTTCAAGGTGACCTAACCATAATATCATAATGAAACTGCTATTACACGTGATTTTTTTTTTCATCTTTTCTATCACCAACTGAAAGCCTTTGAGTAAAATGATAATTTTAATTTTAGAGTTGTAATGAGTCTTAGATGGCCACATAGTTCCCATTCATGCTTGGTTCTTTATATAATATATTCAGTTAATCAATAAACATTGTGTCTACTATGGGTCAGGCTAAGTGATGGCAATACAAATAAGAAAAAAGACAAGCCTTGCTTTCGAGGAGGTTACAATCTTAGAGAAGACGAGAAAAATAAGGTGAGAAGGGGGTGGGAAGGGTTCCAGGAAAGGTACTGGATTTAGAAGCATGGTAGAAAAGTCAGAAGCCCCAAAGTAGTGCACACAGGTGAGAAATTGAGGACATAATATTGACTCATTTGATCCTTAAACACTCTGTGAGGGGCAGCTAGATGGTGCAGTAGATAGAATGCTGGGCCTGGAGTCTGGTGGACCTGAATTGTAATCCAGCCTCAGACACTTACTAGCTGTATGACCCTAGACAAGTCACTTAATCCAGTTTGCCTCAGTTCATCATCTGTAAAATGAGCTGGAGAAGGAAATGGCAAATGGGGTCACAGAGATAATCCCCATTTTACAGAGGGAAGCTGAGGCCAAGAGAGGTTAAGTAAGTGACTTGACTAGGGTCACCTCCCTGATAAAGTATCCATTGTAGGATTTGAACGTGGGTCCTCTCCACTTCAGGCCCAAATCAGTCACCATACCAAACTAAGGAATAGTGGTTAACAGGATCAAGTGCATTCTACCATAAAGAGGGGAAGAGCAAACAAAGCATCATCAGTTGGAGAGCTAAAATAGTCCTGAGGAATGATCACCTCCAATCGGTTGTACAGATAAAGAATCTCATTGGACTCATTAGAACCGTAGCACAAAGTGGCTTGTCTGATAGGACAGGCCTGGGTTGAGAGAATACCTCGTGGAATCAGAGGCACTGGGCTCTTCAGTCCGGCCTCTGCTGTGTACTAATGGGATTGATTGGAAAAGTGACCAAATCTCTGGGCTTCAAGTCTCCTGTTCTGGAATATAACGAAGGCATTAGACTTGAGATCTAAACCTGTGATCCTATGATTCCCAGGTAAATGTATCTTTTCTTCTGTCACAGAATGTACAAAAATAAAATGGGAGAACTGGATAACTCAGAATTTAGAGTCTCAGAGATCTGGGTTTTCATATTGGCTCTGCCATGTATGAGGTAGTAAAATGGTACCTTAATAAGGTTAGGCTTAGACTCAGGAAGACCTGAGTTCAAATCTGACCTCAGACACTTACCAGCTGTGTGACCCTGGGCAAGTCACTTAACCGTATTTGCCTCAGTCTTCTCAACTATAAAATGAAAAATACCTTGCTGGTTTATCAAATGAGATTGTATTTGCCAGTTGCTTAGAAGTGCCTGGCATATAGTGGGCACCATGCAAATGTATATTTGCCTGACTTACAGGCAAGTAGATGGCACAGTGGATAGAGCTTTGGCCTGGAGTCAGGAAGACCTGAGTTAAAGCCTGCCCTGAGACACTAGCTACGTGATCCTGGGCATATCACAGCCTCTGTTTGCCTCGGAGGCAGCTAGGTGTGTCAGTGGATAGAACCCTGGGCCTGGAGTCAGGAAGAACTGTGTTCAAATCTAATTCAGATACTTACTAGCTGTGTGATGCTGGGGAAGTCACTTAACCTCTATTTGCCTTAACCTGCTGGTGAAGGAAATGGTAAACCACTTTGGTATCTGTGCCAAGGAAACCTCATGGACAACAAACCTACCTCACTCCCATGTCCTAGGGGGGGAACATTAGATAAGTAACAATGTCTCTGGGGCCTTCTGTCCGCATTCATCTCCAAAATGAAGGGATGAGACTATATGACCTCTCAAGTTCCCTTCTGGCTCTAAATCCATGATCTTGTGATCACCCATTTCATCTGTTCACTTGTAAGTGCAAGATTAGAAGAGCTCCTTTAAAATGAGAATTCCATATATTCAAATATTAATTCCATTTATTTAAGCAAAGCATACATTATGAAGCAAGGGTTTTTTTTTTAAATTTGAATTATCAACAATCACTTTCATAAGCTTTTGAGTTTTAAATTTCTCTCCCATTCACTTCCCACCCCCCTCAAGATGGTGCGCAATCTGATATAGGCTATACATATACATTCCTATTAAACATTTTCACATTAGTGATGTTTTAAGTAAGAATTAGAACCAATAGGAGGAACCACCAGAAAGAGGAAACAAAACACAACAGAAGAAAAAAAACCAGCAAATAGTGTGCTTTGATCTGCATTCAAACTCCATAGTTCTTTCTTTGGATGTGGATAGCATTTTCCATCATGAGGCCTTTGGAGATGTCTTAGATCCTTGTATTGCTGAGAAGGGTTAAGTTTATCAATATTAGTCATCACACAACATGGTTGTTACTGTGTGCAGTGTTCTCCTGGTTCTACTCACTTCACTCAGCATCAGACCATATAAGTCTTTCCAGGTTTTTCCAAAGCCGGCCTGCTCATCAGGCAGGGACCCCAATGTCATCACTGTAGTATTCCATTACATTCATATACCACAACTTGATCCACCATCCCCCAATTGATGGGCATCCTCTCAATTTCCAATTCTTTGCCACCACAAAAAAAGCTGCTATAAATATTTTTGTAAATGTGGGTCCTTTTCCCATTTGTATAATCTCTCTGGGATATAGCCCTAGAAGCGCAGCAAGGATTTTCAAAATAAAACCTTACACTGTAAGAGGCAGGTAGGTGATTAGGCAGTGGATAGAGTTCTAGTCAAGAAGACTTTGAGTTCAAATCCTGCCTCAGATGCTTATTAGCTGTGTGACTCCAGGCTAATTACTTAACCTCTGCCCTCAGTTACTTCATCTGTAAAATGGCGATAATAGCATCTACTTTCCAGAGTTGATGTAAGGATCAAATGATATATTTGTAAAGTGCTTAGCAAATGAATCTAAATGCTATTATTATTATTATTATTATTATTACTACTACCACTTCACAAAATCTACTGCCTGATGTTTTATTCAAAAAGATATAAAAAGAGACATCTGGGGTAAAAAAATCAACATTTATGATACTATTGATATGGTTTAGAGGTTCAGGAGTTCTGGGACCCCAATATCAACACGCGGGTCCTGCCAGAAAGAATTCGACCCACGCCTTCTTTCAGCCAAAGACAAGGTTTATTAGAACATCCATCATATTGGGCAGACTCTTAAGGAGTCTGAACATTAGTAGCTGTTGTCTAGGTTATAAGAATCTAAGCTATGGCTAGAGTTTAGGAATCTGAGCAGTGGCTGGATTATAAGAATCAAAGCATCTTAATGGAGATAAGATGGGACCTTATATACAGAAAGACTATGGGAGGGATCAAGTAGTCTAGGAGGTAATAGAACTCCAGGGGTGGCCAAGGGAGAATGGAGCCTAGACAGGATTAAGGGTGGGAAGTGGGGGAGGGGGCCCAACAGGAGGTAAGACAATGGAAGGCCAGGCTAGGTTAAGGGTAACAGAGATTGGGCACAGCCACAGTGAAAAACCAGTTCATGGGATTGTAGCCTTAGGTGAAAGCCAGAGATTTGGCCATGTGGGAAAGTCCAGGGTTTTTCCTTTCTGGGGCCCAGATCCCAACCCCATCACTATGATAGGATGAGGGTGCTTTTATGATACTAAAAGAGATGGAAAATCTTACAAATGGGGGTAGATTGAACTATAAATTCTGCAAAGACTTAAGGCTTAAAAACTTAAAAACTGAAGACTTAAGAAGGAATATGAACAAGCATGGGTGAGTTAGCACACTCTTGATCACTGAGAACCTCAAAAGAGATTTAGAACAAAGAGTCCTTACAATTGATAGTAAACTTATTATCCCCATTCAGGAAGAAATGATAATATACTTAGGTTCAAGAAAGTTTAAGGTAATAAATATAGAATGGGTCATAAAGGTAACAAGGACATTATTATGTGGGACATCCCAGACTTTTTGAGATAGTCTAGGTTTCCCTGAAGACATTTATACTGGGTAGTATTCCTTTAAAATGCACTTGTGTCCATGGTGCTTGCGCTCGTAACACGAGCGCTAACTCTAAAATGGAAAGTGTTATATTCATGATTAATTTCTTTTTTTTGTGATTTTTGCTAGGCAGTGAGGTTAAGTGACTTGCCCAGGGTCACACAATAGTAAATACCAAGTGTCTGAAGTTGGATTTGAACTCAGGTCCTTCTGACTCCAAGGCCAGCACTCTATCCACTATACCATCTAGCTGCCCCTAATGAGGATGGGGATCTAGACCCCAAAAAGGAAAAACCCTGACCTTTCCCACATGGCCAAATCTCTGGCATTCACCGGAGGCTATAATTCCATCAACTGGGCTTTCATTGTCCCAAGGTCCCAATTCTCTGTTACCTTTAACTTAGTTTAGCCCTCCATTGTCTTACCTCCTATGGCCCCAGGCCACTTCCCACCTTTAATCCTATCTAGGCTCCATTCTCCCTTGGCCACAGTGGTCCAGGTCTCTGGTATTCTATTACCTGAAGACTACTTGGCCACTCCTAGATCCCTCCC